GGGGGGGGGGGTGTGGTGATATTTGCCATTTTGGTCTATAGCCTTTTATCCAGAAATGTTTCCACATTGTCATTTAAATGAACTTGCAGTCTCTTCTGGTGTTTTTTTTTTTTTTTTTGACTCTTTTGGCAGGAACAATTCTTATAAATTTAAATAGATAATAATGGAAGGAATTAAAAGGAGAAGAGAGCTCTGGGAAAGTTATTTTATAATATGTAGCAATCCCAGCCAGAACACTGGTAAACAAGTACAAGTAGAAGGCTCTTGGGGTTTGATACCCTTCTGAGATGTAAGTGGTATTTCAAATGAAGAGTGAGTATGAAACTCTCATTATTTACCATCTCCACTGAAATGAACTGGGAAGACAATTGCAGCCAGTATTCCAGGCACATAGCTAGAGCTTAGTAAATATTTGATTAATGAATATTATTAAACAGTTGACAAGGTCAAAAAGAAAGCATTAGCTGTGTGTGATAGAACATGCCTGTAATCCCAGGGGCTCAGGAGGCTGAGGCAAGAAGATCACAGGTTCAAAGACAGCCTCAGCAACCTAGCAAGGCTGCAAGCAGTCTAGTGAGACTATTTCAGATTTTTAAAAATAAAAATAAAAAAGGCTGGGGATGTGGCCCAGAATTTAATTGCCCCTGGGTTCAATCCCTGGTACCAAAAAAAAAAAAAAAAAAAAAAGGAAGTGTTAACTAGACACAAAAATGCATCTTGAGCTGTGCCCGCTCCCCCATCCACTCTCCACCTAATTCCTGGACTTGTTCTTATCTGGCTCTCTCTAGTCTCACTCTCTTGTTGGCTCTCTTCACATTTTTCTCTCCACCTAGAATTCCTGGCTCTCCCCTTCAGTCCACAGACACTGCCCTCACCTCACAATTATCAGTTTGTCTCAGCTTAAATGTCACCTTCATGTCCTTAGGTGCAACCGACTGCTGCCTCCCTGAAAGACACCATCACACCTAGTAGAGATACTTCTCATGGAAGCTCTCATCTCAATAGATTCTGTCTCTTTTCTACTAGATCATTGTTTATTTATTCATGAATACAACACATATTCATTGAGGACTTACTGTGTACATGCTCTGAAGATGAAAACAAAATAAATCCATTCCTACACTTACTGAGCCTACAGTTTAGCTGGAAGACAGATACATTAAAAAATAATAGCAAACTGATAAAAAAGTGATAAATAAATGTGGTAAGAATTAATTATAGGAGCAGCTAGGAGGAGCACCTTATCCATGGGGAAGGAGGCAGGAAGCAGAGGGTGATGAGGGAAGGCCTTCTGGATGAGGAGAAGTGGTTTCAGATAAGTTGATTCTTGCCAGTTGAGGTGGAGTGAGGATGGGTGGGGGTGGCTGTTTAATCCCTTGGTCCCAAAGTATTAGGTATAGTGCCTTATGGCCATAAGCTTTGCAGAAACCTACAAAAAATGTTTGAGACTTGAAATTAAAAGAAAAATTGGCTCCAAAATACAAAGAAAAAGCTTTAGAATTAAATTTAATAAATATCAAATTGCATGTTTATCTCATTCACAGTCCAGTTGTGCTAAGTTGTGGGAAAGCCAAAAAAAAGTACCCAGAGACAGTATGGGAGACTTGTGGTTTATTAGGTTAAGCTAACGAGATCAGTGACTGCACCAAGAAGAATTCAGTGGCAAAAGGTGAACAGCTTCTATTCCCTCACAGTGTATAGCCAAGCAATGACTCACAGTGTTCTGTCCACTGTGACTGGTTGAGTGACATGTATTCTTTCCAAAGTGCCCTCAGTTCCATGCCTGTCCCCACTCTGAAAGGGGTTTGTATCTTGAGTGGCAGAAGCAGTGACATCACCAGCATTAGCTTCCTTAGTTTGCTTATAGGAACAGCATCACAGGGAGCAACTGTCCTGTTGTACGTGCAGAAAGTAACTTCTACAGTTCCCAGTGTGCCTAGAGAAAGCCAGTGTCCTCCAAGATAATATGTATCTGGACTTCCCATCCCACGCTTGATCTCATTGTTCCCTTATTTTGGCTAGATTTGGGGAAAGAAAAATAGAGCATCCAGGGACATGGTATTTTATTGTCCTCCTTTGCTTTAGGGAACAATACATTGTTTAAGAAAGGTAATGTTACTTAACTTTATTGTTAAATTTGGTACTCATTAAATGTGAAATTCAAAATTTAGTTTATAATTCAGGTTTTCCCACTTTACACACATTCCCAAGTATTTATAATGACTGCTGAGAAATCATAACAGATTCACTCACTAAATGAGTTATGGGATGCCATATAATTTCAAAAACAATATTTGGAGCCTTAAAAAACTGTGTGTATATGCAAATATGTTGATAAAAAGAGATGTGAATAGATAGAGACATTGGTGCTTTCCAATATGCTGACTTGGATGTAGGACAGAATTTTAAGCTTATATTGTGCCCATGGCCTTGCACTCAGGATGTTCCCTCCCAGTGAAAGAGAGGATGGGTTAAAGACGTACACACAGGCAAAACATAGTCATGAACAGTCTCTGGCTCACAGTCAAGTGAGAAGGGCAGACAACAAACTTAGAAAGAAGAGGGAGTAACTGAAAGAACAGGAACTTGTGACTGATTTAATGTCCAACCTGCTTGGACACATGAGTGTGATGATTCCTTTATTTCTCTGCCTCTGGATTCCTGGCCCCTCCTGGCCCTCCCATCCTTTAGGACTGCTGGGTTTCTGTTCACGACTAAAAGGCTCAGGGGTCGCTCCAGGTAAACTGGGATAACTGGGCTTCACAAAATAACCACACAAGAGACACAAATACCTTTTTCTTTGGGGTCGCTGTGAGGGCTCCTCTGACCTTAAGGGTCTGCAGAAAGAGAGAGAGAGAGTATGCGCTGACCCCTTTTATTGAGGAGAAGCTATTCAGATGAGGCAAGGGGTCAAGTTTCAGGGGGCTGAGTCTGTCTTCTGATGTCCACTGTCAGCAGGTTGACTGACATCTAGATAGGCCAACCCAAGGGCACAGTAAGAGAAGGGTACACACACAAGGCACTTCCATGGAACATTCTATCCTAAACAGGGCAAGGGGTAATATTACAAAGGAACAGGTGAGCATAGCTCCACCCATGGGACTGTAGGAAGACATGCCCAGGCACGAAGACACAGTCACTTGAACCCTAGAAGAGCGGGGCAGTCTAGCAGCATGGGTGCCTGATGCTACATCTCCCAGCAGGGGAGTTAACTCCGTCATGTGCGAGGTTGGTCTCCCACATAGGACCTTTTTTTTTTTCTCTGCAGAACTTCTTTGGACTGTGGTCATTGAGTCCAACTTCCTCCTAGCATAGTCGTTAACATGTCCCTTGGCTCCCCTCTTTGCAATCTGAGGGCTCATCTGCCCCACACTCAGACCCAGCACCAACTCCTAGATTCCCAAGCTAGAGGTTTAGGCAATGGGATGGGATGGTGAAGAATCAGTGCTGACTTCTGGGAAGAAGTTAGTGCCAGCAGGAATGAAAACTGGTTTGGGAAAGACAATGTGATCAGTATGGGATGTGTTGGATCCCAATGACCAGCAGGCAGTGGATACATAAGGCCAAGGCTATGGGGAGAAGTCTGGGCTGGAGGAGCAGGTTTAGAAGTTGTCAATTAAAGGTGGCAGATTCAATAATAAAGGTAATAAGACTACTCATTCTTAAGTAGGGAGATAGTACAGTGTGAGGGTTGCAGGTCCTCAGGGAACTTGGCTGATAGTGGGAAGATGAAGGCAGAGGAGTTCATAGGAAAGGCCAAGGAGGAGCAAAAAAAGCAGTCAAGAACAGTGTCACAGATGGCAATGTGATCAAAAGTGTCAAGAAAAGCAGAGGCCTCAACAGACTAAAAGCAAAAATAGGGCAGGTGAGGCAGGAAGATCGCAAGTTTGAGGCCAGCTTCAGCAATTTAGCAGACCCTGTCTCAAAAATAAAAAGGATTAGAGATGTGGCCCAGTGTAAAGTACCCCTGGGTTCATTTGCCAGTACCAAAAAAAGAAGCAAAAATATTCAGTGGACTTAAACCCCAGGAGGAAATTGGGGGTTCTGTTAAAGCCTCTTGGTAGAATGGTGAAGGTAAGGATAGAGAGGTGTTGCTAAGGAAGTGAAGTCACCAAGTATGGCTTATGCTTCCAAGGAATGTGGAAAGAACAGGTTGAGGAGGAAGAGTGTGGCTACAGAGGGATAAGGGATTAGAAAACGATTCTTTGCCATTTGAGAAGCAAGAGCATATTGGCAGTGTGGTCCCAGTGGTGGGAATGCTGAGGGTACATGAGCAACGTTCTTGAAGTGAAGCTCCATGAAGAGAGGCTTTTGTTTTGTTCATTACTATGTCCCCAACACCTGCACACAGCAGACACTGAATTTGTATTTGTCAAATGTGTGATCACATCAGTTCAAAAGTGTAATCGGCTCAAACAAAATACTGGAAAAAATGAATTTTGTTTCCATTTCCAAGCACAGTCCTGTGGTGGGTAACCCAGGAGTGACATGGAAGCTCCAGAGACTTCCTCAGGAACCAGGCTCCTCTGCATTTCCTTCAGGTACCTGGAGCTCTCACACTATCTGCTGCACCTCTCCTAGTCCATCCCATGTTCCAGGCAGGGCAAAGGCGAGGGCACACCTTTAACACACCATCCTGTTACAGTGTATTAATCAGAATTGTGCCTCATGCCCACCTGTACACAAGGGAGTCTGGGAAAGGGAGTTTTTAGCCAGGCATTATCACCTTTAGCAGAATTGGGTAAACAGGCATCCATCTCTCACAGTGATAGAGCCTCGGCACTCAGTGCTGAGCAATATTTATGGAATAGACAGATGAGAACTTTATTCTTGTGGTCTTGCTTATGGTTCATGTCAGTGGTCTGCTTTTCATTGCTGTGACCAAAATACCTGACAGGAACAACTTAGAGAAGGAAAGATTTATTTTAAAGCAAAGTTTCAGAGGTTTCAGTGCAGAGCTGGCTGGCTGAATTGCTTTGGGCCTGAAGTGAGGCAGAACATCATGGTGGAAGGGCCTGCCCAGCTTATGGTAACTGGGAGCAGAGAGAAAGAGAGAGTGGGCCAGCTGCAAGAAAAATCTTTGCAGGTCACATCTACAGTGACCTATCCTCCAACTAGGTCTCACTTCCTACAGTTTCCTCCACCTCCCAATAGTCCATGAGCAATGATGGATTAATCCATCATAAAATTAGAGCTTTCATGACCCAATAATTTTCTTAAAAACGCACCTCTGTACACTGCAGCTTTGGAGACCAATCCTTCAAGTACTCAAATCTTTGGGGAACATTCCAGATCCAAACCATAGCAATGTCTTTGATTTTTCAGGACTCTTAGATAACTCTTAGATTCCTCTCTGAAAATGCAGCAGAAGCCTTGCTGTGGTCTGAATGTGCTCCCCAAATTCCTGTGTTGAATTCTCATCCCCAAGATGATGGTATTAGGAGGTTGGGCCTTTGGGAGGCAATGAGGTCAGGACTGGGATTAGTATCCTAGTAAAAGAGACCCCAGAAAGCCAGCTTGCCTCTTCTACCACAATAAGACCTAGAAAGAACCAGAAAATAGGCCCTCACCAGACACCAAAACTGCCAGAACCATACTTCGGGACTTCCTAGTCTCCAGAACCATAAGAAACAGACTTCTGTAGTTTGTAGGCTATCCCATTTGTAGGATGTTGTTACAACATCTGGAATGGAAAAAAAGAGTGCTGATTTTATATTCCTGGAATGAGCAGGTAGTCTTTGGAGAAAGAAAGAACACCATCTGGGACAGGGTATTCTACAGACCCTAGCATGGAAGTTAATATGGTTACTAACTGTGGTCAAAATGTACAGGTCTGTGGAACTCTCAACCAGGAGAAAGGCATAATAAAGTTAAGAGCCTGGTGCTTCTGAAACAATCTACACCACATTTTTCACAGTGATTGCTCTTGGGTAAAGAGTAGGACAGATAGTAGGGCGAGCTATACCCTGTACTTCATGTAAGTAAGTAAGTAGCTATTACTTTTGTTATCTTAAAGATGAAAAAAAGGCCTAAGTGTTCCATATCAGAGTCAGAACTACCTGGTGCACGTCTGCAATCCTAGTAGCTCGGGAGGCTAAGCCAGGAGGATCCCAAATTCAAAGCCAGCCCCAGAAAATTAGTGAGGCCCTGGGCAATAATTTAATTATTCTCTTGAATTATTAAAAGTGAATAATTATGAATTTCCAGGAAGTCATTACTACTTCTTCACTATATCTCTTTATAATAGAACATCAACATAAGGGAGTTTGACTTAAAGATGAAATACTAAAATTTATTTACTCTTTCTTTAAAAGCAACTTAAAAGTAAACATGTTGCTGAACACTTCTTTAATCTGACATAGGTGAGTGTATCATAGTCTCTAAGGCAAACTTCATTCCACCTCCTAGCATATGGGATTTATGATTCACAAATTTCTCCTGAGCTGCTACATAAAAATGTGATGGATAAGAAAGTTAAGCAATACAAAAATAAAAATTTAAAATCCTGGGCTGGGCTTGTAACGCAGTGGGCTTGCCTAGAATGTGTGAGGCACTGGGTTTGATTCTTAGCACCTCATAAACATAAATAAAATAAAGGTTCATCTACAACTAAAAAATAAAAGTAAAAATTATTTTTTAAAAAAGTAAGATTCTTGTCCTTAAGAAACATACCATTTCACAGACTACAGGTATGAAAACAATTATAATAAATTTGTTTTTTGCTCTAATAAGAGCATTCACTTATTTATCATATTTTTTGAGTAACTACTGTGAGCCGAACACACAGACACAGTTCCTTTCTACATGAGGCTTAGAGTCTTGCAAGAGAGACAGATGAGAGGTAAACAAAAGAATAATCACCACTGCTGAATAAAGTAAGGAGGAAAATCAACAAGTCACCTTCAGGGAACCTATAGGACAAGGTGCAAAGAGACATGGAAAAGAGACATCTAAAGCTACCTGGGGGACAACTGTCTTTCCCATAGTTAGTTGTGTTAGGAATGAGACTTGAAAGAATAGGAGTCTGCCAGGCAAAGGAAGAAGGGAAATGGAGTACAGAACCCAGGGATATGCAAAAGACAGATATGTGAGGAGAGGCAGAAGTCTGGCCTAGTGGAGGAGAGGCAGGTAAGAGGGCTGGAGAGCCAGGCATAGTGGTGCACGTCTGCAATCCTAGCAGCTCGGGAGGCTAAGGCAGGAGGATCCCAAATTCAAAGCCAGCCCCAGAAAATTAGTGAGGCCCTAAGCAACTCAGTAAGACCTCACTCAAAATAAAACAAAAAGGGCTGAAGATGTGGCTTAATGGTTAAGTACCCCTGGGTTTAATTCCCAGTACAAGAAGACTAGAGAGGCCATGTGTATCCAGCACTGTTACTGACCTTCTCTCCTGGGGAAAGAAGAGAGCCATGGAAGATTTCTGATCAGTGCAAGTAGCACAATTAGATAGACCTCTTAGGTAACTCAGTCTACAATGTGGAAGATACATGGGAAGGAAGGAGACTAGATGCAAGGGAACCAGCAAGAAGGTTATTCTTTTTTTTTTCCTTAAATTTTTTTAGTTGTCAATGAACCTTTATTTTACTTATTTATATGTGGTGCTCTGAATTGAACCCAGTGCCTCACACATGCCAGGCAAGCATTCTGCCTCTGAGCCACAACCCCAGCCCCCAAGACGGTTATTCTGATGGAGTATTCTAGAGGAGAAATTAACAAAAGCAGTCTTAGTGGGGAAGGAAAAAATATGTAAGATAGGGAAAGTATTTACTTATCCATTTATTCAATAATTTATTTTTGCCTGGGAAAACTTTTTTCTTATTATCTGAACATTTTATTTCTAGAAATAAGTATAAAAATAGAGTGAATGATATAACGAAGCCCATGTACCCATCACCCAGCATCAAGTATTATCAACATTTGGCTTAGTTCTTATTTTGATGGTTCTCTCCCTTTTTTTTAACCCCTAAACTTTTTTGCAATAAATCATAGACAACATACCATTTCACCAGTACATGCTTTGTAATTATCTTTAGCAGAGACGGTCGTATTTGTCTTAACAAAACTGCAATGCTAGGATCACACCCAACAAAATTTAATAATTCCTCAGTGTTGTCCAGTGTGTGGTCCGTGTCCACTTACTCCATTATTACACCTGGATTGTCCATATCAGAATGAAAAAAACACACATGACACTATATTTATAGGTCCCTTCCATCCTTTTATATATCTAATAATCTAGGAAGATAGTCAGGAGAGAGGGTCCCCAGGACTTGTGATAACTTTCCATCATCACATATTTTTACCTGTTTGCTTAGTCCCTTCCTACTCACTTCACTCAGCCCTTACAGGAAAAATAGGATCTAAAGTGCTCTTCCCAGATACACTGAAGGTATTTTCAAGGAATTTAAAAAGAAGTCCTGGCAAGACCAATGCATAGGCCCTGTGCTCAGGGTAAAGATGCTTCTCAGTGGTGTGGCAGCAATGGCAGCTTTGCAGCTGCTTCCTCTGGAATATTCCTCCCCTGTCAGGTCTGTTTTACATTTTTCATGCATAACAAATTCTTTTATTTTATAGTTAGAAAATAAGCCTGAAATGCTAATGTCTGCTGAGTGTACCTAAATTTATTTCATGGTTTCAGGATCAGAGAGAATACTAGGGCTCTTGCACCTATAGCAGGGAG